GCAGCCCTGTCACGTGTGCCAGCCACTTCCTCTGGCAGCGCTCACCAGCACCGCTCTGCCGAGCACTGGGAGCAGCCACCGCTGTCCCCACCAGCCTCGCTGCCCTGGAGACTGCCTGGGCATGGAAAGGGCCACAAGCCACCCCTTGCCATCCACACCGGCCTGCAGAGGCTGCCTCCCCCCAGCGCTGTGAGCGTGCCAAGTTTTCCTGTCTCCCATCTGGTAGCCAAAACGCTTCCCTCAGGCTTGAACTCAGGCTGGCTTGAGCCCTACAGGAAAGGAGGGTGGCAATCACTGCTGGGCAGGCATAGCCCTGCAGGGACAGGCTTTCAAACTGGCCAAGGCAGGGTGTGTCACCCTGAGCATAGCCTGAGTCTGCCTGAGTCTGCAGGCAGCTTGGGGCAAGATGTGGAAAGCACCAAGTTCCCAGCTGGTTCGGGGGGGGGTTGCTCAGAGCTGCCAACGAGAAACACATCAAGTCCATTGTCACTTCTGCCTCGCGGCAGCGTCCCGGACAAGAAGTCGCTTTGGCCCACCCCAGGCACTAGTGGTCCAGTTTTGGCAGTGGAGAGCTGCCAAGGGAAGCAGAGGGCTCAGGGCCGTGCAGACACCTGTGCAGGGCCCCATCCTGTCCTACACCAGGCAGAAGTCCCTGCAGTGACACGTGTCCTCTCAGCTCCCACCCTGGCAGAGAAGTTCCCCAGCCCTCAGGGGAAATCTGGATAAAACAACCCCATGTTCGTGGTGACCTGGAGAGCCCCAGCCCACGGGAGCAGGCCCAGCCGGGCATCCCCTCCCCTTGCCCAGCCGCACCCTCTGCTCTCCCTTCCCTCTTGCTCCTGCTTGGGGCTTGCTGCAGCGCTTGCCAGCAGGGTCCGCCCCGGGCCCCACCCCCAGCCCCGCTCCTGCCTGCTCTGCTTCCTACACAGCAGCAGGCCGAGCAGAGGCCCCTGTGGGGCTGCCGGCTGTGCAGCCACACACCGCCGCATTCCCTAAAACCCTCCTGATTTGCTTAGTGCTGTGTGTTAAATGGCTCTTCTTGCACCATCAGCTCCTTCTAGCCATGGGGCACAGGCAGATCTCCTTGCAAATTTTCTACAAGCTCAGCCATGGGGTGGCCAGGCAGAAAGTCTCAGCTGTGAAAGGGTGCTGGATGAGTACGCGATGAGAAACCCGGGGTGCACTCTGCCTGAGTGTTCCCAGGCACACTTTGGTGGCTGCCTGCAGCCTCAGACAGATGTTATTTTGCTTGTGTAACCTGTCCACGCACAAAAATGCTGGGAGACTGAAGTGGGTCAGAAGGAGCCAGCCAAGGTGTTTGCACGCTCACTCTTAGATCTGGCCAGAGGAGAGCAAGCACTAGAGGCAGTGTGGCTAGGTAGGAAACCAGCTGCAATGTGGAGAGCAGCAGAGCAGGCTGGGCACCAGGAGCACATGCCACAGCATGCAGCCCACTGACAGCTGGGGCCACCATAGGAGGGGCCAATGGAGACACGAAGGGTTCAAACTGCCTGGGTCTGGTGGGCTCAGGAGCCTTGGCGCGCAAGCGGAGGCCCCGCCAACATTTCCTCTAACCAAACACACGAAGACTGCAGCCAGGTTTCTCCCACCCAAGCCTCCAAAGAAGTTACAGAAATAAATAGTAAAAGATGCTCGGTCAAGCCAACAAAAAGGAGAACAAGGACAGGAAGCCGTGGGGCCATGTCCAAAGAGGGCCAGCCATCACAGGAGGCAGGGAAGGGCCCCACTCGCCTCCCGCTCAAGCGGGAGCCTGTGGAGGAGGGGTAGAGCAACTTGTGAAAGGAAATTGCTGCGTTTGTGGTAAAAGCAAAACCAAGAGACTCCGCGTGCGCTCTGAGAGCGTGGGGGAGCCAGGAGCCGAGCACGCTGAGCTCCGGGCACACGAACTTGCTCCCACAGCAAGGCTGGGCCCAGGGACCAAGGGGCCTGGCGTAAGCCAGAGAGCAAAAAGCAAGAGCCCCAGCCAACATAGTGATGCTTCGATGACCACATCGAGACTGGGCAGCAAACACGAACCCAAGAGGTCAGTACATGTTAAGGAAAGCATGCAGAGACAAGGCAAAAGCATGCTGTGCGGGGTCCCCAGCTGTCCGGCTGCCACCGAAGGTGTTCCCGGCATGGGGAAACCCTTCCCTCAGCCAAGCTCCATGTGGGAAAGTCCAAGTTAAGCCAAGGAGGGCACTAAGCCGGAGGCAGGCAGCTGGGTAACAGGACGGTTGGAAGAGGTAGCAATGGAGTCCCAAGGACTGCACTAGGACCGACATTTGCAATTTTCTTCAGTGGCTTCACCACAAAATTAGGAGCAAATTTACTGAGATGACAGCATGGGAGGCACCATCCAGGCTGAGGGATGAGGATCGCAGGGAGAAAACGTGGATCCCAGCCCAGGCCTGCAGCTGAAACGCAGGGGAACAGTGAGTGGGTCCTTCTCGCTCACACTACGCCCGCACGGCAGCTTACGTGTTCTTAGCAGTCGCAAACAGCCTTAGCTGGATGGGAGGACCAACCCATGGCACACTCCTCACAGCAGTGGGACCCTCCACATACCAGTGCCTTCCCTCGGGGCGGCCCATGAGGCCTCCCTGCATCACCAGGAGCACCAGGACAGTCCCACTCCACTTCCAGCTCTTGCTCCCAAAATCCCCAGCTGAGTGAAGAGTCTCGGCAGAGGCGAGTCAGCAGGACCAGCCTGCGTTTGGGTGCTGAGCAGAGCAGCTGCACATTGGAGCCCTGTCATTTTCCTGGCAAATGCCCAGCACACGTCGCAACAGATGTGTGTCAGCACAACACTGCACCCTAGCTGCCCCGACCAGTCTCCATGCTGACGCATCCACAGCTGGATGAGTGGTGTTTGTGTGGCAGGGACTCTGCCACACAAACACCAACATTAGAGACAATTTGGGACCTGCAAAATGCACTTCTAGCCCAGCAGTCCCTTGCGAGGAGCAGCAGTTCCCAGTGCTAAGCCTGGCAGACGTTTTTGGCTTTGGACGATGATTGATCTGACGGACCGATGTCCACAGCAGGAAGCAGAGCTTGCAGTGGGCTTTCTCCCAGCCTAGGGAAGCAGGGGACAGCGATGTTGGCAGGAGGGACTCAATCCCCTGCCATGCCTGGAGTCCACAGAACCTGACCCTGTGGCCTCAGGACCCTCTGCAGGCTCCGTGCCTGAGCAATCCCCTGGTAGCGATATTAGAGGAACCGGCAGAGCCCCAAGGGGCGCACCCTGATGCGAGTCAGCAGGAGAGGTGTTTAATGCAGCCCTGCAGGCACGTGCGGCAGGATGCTACCAGCCCGGCTCTCCGCTGCAGTGAGCAGCTGGGGCAGCACCAGTCAGCACCATGCCATGCAGCCCCTGCTCCAAGAGTGCTCCAGCAAGCAGCTGCACATGCACTATGAGTGACACTGGGTTTCTGCATCCCTCTGGGCTCCTGGGGCATGTCTAGACCCCGAGGTGCCCACAACATGCTGTGGCTCTTGGGTGTCAGCATGATGCAGAGACTGGGGAGGATGCGCCAGCCAAAACCTCTTTGAACACTGCTATCGCTCCCATGGCTGTTTTGGCTTGTTGAGATGCCCAGCACCAAGGCAGGTGGGTGGGAGCCATGCACAGCACTGTGGAGAAGCCCTCACACCTCTCTGCCTCCCCCCAGCTCTCCCTCCAGCGCTCCAGCAGCTTCAAGGACTTTGCCAAGGCCAAAGTCAACTCCCCCGTTGTGACAGAGAAGGAGTTCAATCTGGATGAGAACGTGAGTGCTTGTCCTTGCGCGCAGCAGCACCTCCCCTTCCTGGGACCTGCTGCATGCCTCTCCCATGGGGATCCCATGGGGCATCCTGATCCTATGGAGATCCCTTTCCAATGGGTATCCCACACCCATGGGGCCCCCCAGTAGCTGTTCACTGAGTGGCTGGTCCCCCGGGTGCTGCCGTGGGAATCCACTGGTCCCAGAGGGCTCCCACTGCAGCCCAGGCCATAGGTAACTGGGGGTCTGGCTCTGCTCTCCATCCCCCCTCCCAGATCCCTGAGGATGAGCCCGGCAGCGTTGGCCCCAACGATGCAGCACGGAGCAGTGGGATGAAGCTGGGCAAGAAGTGGAGAGCCGTCATCTCCCGCACCATGAACAGGAAGATGGGCAGGATGGCCCAGAAAGCGCTGGCTGAGGGGAAGGTGAGCCAGGTGCCTGGGCAGCCAGAAAAGCAGAGCAGCAGCCCCCACTCCCACAGACCCTGCCCCAGCACTAACCCTGTTCCCACTGGTAGGGAGACGTGGAGGAGGAGGGGTCTCTGTCCTCCCTGTCCCCAGCCAGCAGCATGGAGGAGCCAAGCCAAGAGAAGGTGCCCCTCTCCTACATGGAGATGGAGGAAGATGGGCACCCATCCATTGGCCGCCAGCTGTCCAGTGGTGAGTGCAGCCCCAGGTGGAACCCTGGCCCTTTGCCCTGGGGTCTGGCCTGCCCTGATGGTCCCCTCTCCCCTCTACAGGCAGCGAAG